GCACGCTATTGCACAATGCACCTAGAGAGCATTACAGAGTGGCACGTGGGTTGCGCTGCCATTCATTTGTATGGCACACTTATGCACATCCCAGCCACAGCGCGCTGCAACACGCAGTACTGCAATACCGAGTACAATACAGTACAACATATTGTGGTACCGCACATTGCACTTCAATGCAGTGCACTGTGGCCAGGAGGTGCTTTGTGGTGCCATTCAAGTGAATGGTAACACAACGCACCTGCAGCACAGTAATATATAGGTGCATTGTGCATTAGCATGCGTTAATCACATGATTAGTGTGATTAACATGACGAATAGATGTGAACTGACCCTTAGAGCTGTTATAAGCAAAACAGAACAGTGCTTTAAGCCCCCATTCACACCTGAGTGTGGACCTTTCTTGACTGATTTTGAAGCTTTTTGCACTTATTTTTATGCCCATTTTCAGGCATTTTCAGGATTTGTTGCTTTAAACAATGGAGAGCTAGTTACTAAGAGGAGAAGATTGTTGTTAGGAGAAAAATCGTGAAAAAACGCCAATTTCAAGCGTCTATAGAGCTAAAAATGTGTACTTGTGTCCGAAAAGAAGCTCATGTAATTTTTCGAGCATCACCCTACACAACATTTGGGTGTGAATGGGCACCAGTGAGAATAATGGGTTTCTTCATGTTCAGTGTTGTTGCACTTTGGGAAGCACACAACAAGACGCTCAGATGTGGATGGGGACTTTTACCTAAACGTGGCAAACGATATGTCACCAGCACACCATTGGATCTTCGTTAAAAATGTATTTTATGACTTTAAATTTGCATTTTAAAAGGAGCGACATTTTGGGACCTCACAGGGTCCCTTTATCGAGTAAAATCACAATCATTAATTTTTGCTTGATGAAGGGACCCTGTAAGGTCTCTAAACGTCACAACCTTTAATATGCTCATTTAAAGGTCAATAAAATAGCTTTGAATGAAGATCCAATGTTGTGCTGGCGACATATCTTTTGCTTGAATTCATGTGGTGCCATCCACAAGTCACTGCAGCACCCGCAAAGGCAAAGAAGGGGGTACATCAGTGAAGAGTACGGTGGGATGTCTACATGATGTTAGGACTAGGCGTAGACGCATGCCAACCATCACGTGTATAGCATACTAATAAATGGATTTTCTGCTTTCTTGTGTTCTCTCTTAGACAAGGAAATTACTACTGGGATCTGTCCGGCATCACAATACAACTTCATAAACTTTATTGCTTCTTTATTCACGGACTCGATATTAGGCTGAACACATTGGAAACAAAGCATGAATATCTACAAGTATACATTTACTGCCGACAGAAGAGGACAACGTACAATCCTGATTTTTAGAACCACTGGTAAATCTTCAGTTGATGTTCACCAACAAAGGGAAATCCATCTTATCTTGTCTTTTACCTATGCATGGTAAAAAGATCGTCATAAATATCATTTGCATGTAGCTTAGACACTTAGGACATCCATCGGTATATCTAGTAAGTTTTGACTTGTGATGTGCAGTAGAAATTACCTGTTTGAGCCATGGACTCCCTGACAGCTCCACTATATTCTTCAAAAGCAAAACACTGGACAATATCATCTGCATCTGTGTATGTTTTACATAGCACAGACTCATTTATGGCAGACTTTTAACAGTGAGTCTGGTGGCTTTAGTCATTCCATGTATTCAGAGATAATTTCACGCTAAGTAGACACAGAAGGGCTTCTATTTTTTTTACAATATTAAAGCTGATGCCAGCTGAAGCCTGGTGGCCCTCGAAAGCTTTATCCTTAGAAAGAGTAAAATCAGGCAAAGATGATTTCTATGGACTTCAAGCACACGTGTGATGGCAATCAAAAGGTATTGAGAAACAAACATAAAAAGTGAAGAATCTCCAGCATAAGGAACAAAAAAAAAACAAAACACAACATCAACATCAACAAAACATCCCACATGGCAAAATACAGTTATACTCTGTTATGGAGGCATAGACAGCATTCAGATCTTTCTAGGGTATTGCTGCAACACTGATGTCAAACATGCAAATGAAGAAGTCTTTCTGAATGATATCCACACTCTATAAGCATTGCCATTACACATATAATGCAAATAATTATAAGAGAACTGCCGCACACAACATGGAATAAGAGGCTCTTGAGAAGCACCATAGTTTGAAATCACTGTCACATGTCTGCTGCTGCTTCTTACTACTCTCATACATCATGATGTCACTTTCTATCACCGCAGCCATTCCATGCTCCTTCTCAGCCAACACACATATGTTATTTTTTGGGTGTTTTGCAGAATAAAAGCATTCGATCCACGCCGGGAAACTCATAGTCCACATTGTACGAGCTTAATTAAACTCTACGCCTGTAACCATCAACACAGCAACACCCCCCTTCAACAGCAGCAGGAGCTACAACCAAGTGCCATCAAGTGGACCTTCGCATCACTTTCTTCAATCATGGAAAGTTTAAAAAAAAAAAAAAAACCTCAATAACCCACAGCTCCAACTCCTCCTTTGACATCAACGGTTGACCATGTCAGTAATCATTTCATCTCAAGCAACCCAACGAGAACCATTGGTCTGAGAGAATTGACATTTCTGCAGAGCGCATTAGTTAGTGCATTGATATTTAAAGATGCAGTATTGATTTCACATTTTCAGATTAAACCCTGCTAAATCCTTGCAATGTTCTGGCCATGGAGGAAGATGTGTGTGTGTGTGTGTGTGTGTGTGTGTGTGTGTGTGTGTGTGTGTGTGTGTGTGTGT